TTTTTTTTTTTTTTTTAATCATAAGTATTTTTTATATATCTGTTGGGATGTAACTTTTTTTTTGTTCTTTGTAAGTTCTTTATTGTAGTGAACTACATTGCTGGCTTTTAGAACACTTGGATTCAACTTGCTTATATATTTTTTTCCTTTTTGTAAATTTTAATTTTGATAGTTTTGGGGGAACAGGTTGTGTTTGGTTACATGGATAAGTTCTTTAATGGTGATTTCTGAGATTTTGATGCATCCCTCAACCAAGTAGGGTATACACTGTACCCAGTCTGTAGTCTCCTTTCCCTCACTCCCCTCCCACCCTTCCCCACTGAGTCCCCAAAGTCCATGGTATCATTCTTATGCTTTTGCATCATCATATCTTAGCTCCCACTTACAAGTGAGAGCATACAGTATTTGATTTTTCATTCCTGAGTTACTTCACTTAGAGTAATGGCCTCCAACTCCATCCAAGTTGCTATAAAGGCCATTATTTTGTTCCATTTTATGGCTGAGTAGTATTCCATGGTGGATATATACCACATTTTCTTTAACCATTGGTTGGTTGATGACATTTAGATTGGTTTCATATTTTTGCAATTGCAAATTGTGCTGCTATAAACATGTATAACTTGCTTATATATTATGTTGGCCAATAGATGAGTTTTGGTATCAGGTTTAAGCTAACTTCATGAGTTGGGTAACATTTCATCTTTTCCTGTGCTCTTTATCAGGAAATTTCTGTAACTTAATGTGGCTGAATTTCCTCCTAAAATTATTTGTAGCCTTTAAGGAGTAGATCTTCAACTACCATTTAAGTTTTGTATATTCTGGGCTTATCACCTCTTTGACCAACTTTAATAATTTATATTTTCTAGAACATTGTTTTTATCTGGGTGTTCGTATCATTAATATAGCTGTCTCATTCTGCACCTCTGCCAAGTAGTGGGTAGCAGTCATATCTAGTACTTTATACTGTTACATAGTAAACATTTACTGAATTTTGTTGATCCCAATCTACTCCACTCCCTCCTTTGACCCCTTAGGTCTGAGTGTACGGTTTGCAGATATGCCTGGAAAATCAAGGAAGAAAAAGAAGAACATGAAGGAACTGACTCCTCTTCAAGCCATGATGCTTCGTATGGCAGGTAAGGCAGGGAAAAAATAGTGAATCACCTTTTGGTGTATCCTGACGCTAATTGCTTTACATACATTTTTCCATTTAGTATCTCAGCAACCTTCAAGTAAGTAATAAGTCCTTGTTTTACAAAAATAAGATTTGGAACCATTATATAGACTGCCTAAAGTTACATAGCAAGTAAATGGTTGGGCTGGCATTTAAATATTGGTCTGTCTTGTTTTAAAGCCTGAGTTCATTCCACTATGCTACACTAATACAGATCAGTATAGAATAGTATTTCTTTCACATCTAAGTATTTTATTGAAGAAGACTATTTGGTTTTTAATTTTAAGAACACATTTATTAACCATGTGTATTCAGTCATTGCTGTTCTCCAAACTGTAAAAAAGTGAATCAACTCCATTTACTGACTTTAAAATTTCTTTCAGGTCAAGAAATCCCTGAGGAGGGACGGGAAGTAGAGGAATTTTCAGAGGACGATGATGAAGATGATTCTGATGACTCTGAAGCAGAAAAGCAATCACAAAAACAGCATAAAGAGGAATCCCATTCTGATGGCGCATCCACTGCTTCTTCACAGCAGCAGGCTCCGCCGCAGTCTGTTCCTCCTTCTCAGATACAAGCACCTCCCATGCCAGGACCACCACCTCTTGGACCACCACCTGCTCCACCATTACGGCCTCCTGGGCCACCTACAGGCCTCCCTCCTGGTCCACCTCCAGGTAAACACTTACATCATGTGACTAAAGTTTAAATGAGGTTAGAGCGAAGTTATTCCAAAAAACAATATGTGTTATTAGCGTTCATGTTTTCTTGTTTCTTCCTAATGGGATTCTCTAAGATGTGAAAGATTCTCAAAGGACAAGTAAAGCTTGTTTATTCCTAAACCATGGTTTGCAACTCATAGTTCTACTGACAGCCACCTGTTTTTCTCCAAAGCACTCTTGTTTTCAAAGTTTTTCTGATTACAACAGACAGAAACTTGAACATGTAATGGAGGCTTTCTTTAGTATTGCTTTTTAATATGATAGGTTGACCTAGCTCTAAATTGGCAGCAGGTGGGAGTAAGACACAGTTAATACTGTCTTGTGTTCTTAGGTTAAGAATGTTGAATGTCAGTGTAATCTGCATAGTTTTTTAGTTGTAGTTCTTTTTTAGAGGCAAAGGTGATTAGTCTGTTAAGTGTTCAGCTCGAAAGTATAAAAAGATTATAAAATGAAAAAACATAGAACTTTTCAGCTATTTGTGATTTTAGTCCTTCATCCTGTTGTCAGCCTACTAAGTTTTCTTCAGTTAAGCTAATCATTTTCCGATTGGTGCAAAGGGAAGTCACATATTTTATGTCATTCTTAGTGGTCTTTATCTATATATTCATGAGTTTCAAGGGGTCCTTAAAGCATTGGGGTTTTTTTTGTTTTTTTGTGGGGTTTTTTTGCTTGCCTTTTTTTTTATCATTATATTTTAAGTTCTAGGGTACATGTGCATAACATGCAGGTTTGTTACATATGTATACATGTGCCATGTTGGTGTGCTGCACCCATTAACTCCTCATTTATATTAGGTATTTCTCCTAATGCTGTCCCTCCCCCCTAAATCATGCTGCTATAAAGACACATGCACACGTATGTTTATTGCGGCACTATTCACAATAGCAAAGACTTGAAACCAACCCAAATGTCCATCAGTGATAGACTGGATTAAGAAAATGTGGCACATATACACCATGGAATACTATGCAGCCATAAAAAGGGATGAGTTCATGTCCTTTGTAGGGACAAAGCATTGTGTTTTATATTCCATTTTCAGCTTATACTGGAACCATTTAAGACTTCTTATCACCTTTTTATATTTCCAGCATTGCAGAGCTGTGATTGAGTACGCTTTTTGTCAGTGTTGGGAAATAAAGTGAAAAGATCCACAACAAATCCAGTACCATTTTTCTGGTGCTCAGATATTTTTTTTTTAGACAAAGTCTCACTCTGTGACCCATGCTGGAGTGCGGTGGTGTGATCTCGCCTCACTGCAACCTCCGCCTCCCGGGTTCAAGCAATCCTCCTGCCTCAGCCTCCCGAGTAGCAGGGATTATAGGTGCCCGCCACCATGCCCAGCTAATTTTTTTGTATTTTTAGTAGAGACAGGGTTTCACCATCTTGGCCAGGCTGGTCTTAAACTCATGACCTCGTGATCCACCCGCCTCAGCCTCCCAAAATGCTGGGATTACAGGCGTGAGGTGGCTGTACTGTGCCCGGCTGTACTGAGATATTTATTGAGTGAATTCTGTTTCCATGTATGTTTCATTAAGTTTTTGAAGTTAATCTGATTTCAGGTTAAAGTCAAACCATATTTGAGTTACTTTTAAGCCATAATTATTACTTAATGTATATTTGTGTGACATTAATTTATCATTTCTCCCTTTTCAGGAGCTCCTCCATTCCTGAGACCACCTGGAATGCCAGGACTCCGAGGGCCCTTACCCCGACTTTTACCTCCAGGACCACCACCAGGCCGACCCCCTGGCCCTCCCCCAGGTCCACCTCCAGGTCTGCCTCCTGGTCCCCCTCCTCGGGGACCCCCACCAAGGCTACCTCCCCCTGCACCTCCAGGTGACGCTTTCAATTTCTATAATAAAAACTTTGCCTACTGTTTATTTAATTTGCTCTAAGATATATGGTCACATTTCAGTATTCTGAAATCTGAGGTAATCTTACAGTCGGTGGTGGTTTTTAAGTTGTTGTTGACCTGGTTTGAAGTAGAGTTCTTCCAGTGGGTATTTGCACTTGGTTCGCTTGAGGGACTTCTAGCCAGAGAACATGGGATTAAATTCTCTATTTGATAATTTTTTGGTTTTAGTTGTAGTTATGAAGCCGTTCCATGCATCCGCATGAGTACCAACTTAAAGTTTAAAATTACAGAGAGTGTTTTTTTTCCTTTCCTCTACCTAGTGTCAAGGTTAGACATGCAGATTTTCTTGTGGGCTTGTTTTATGTGGCAGGTATATTTCTAGTTTACAACACTGAAATGTCCCACTTTCATGTGAAGATCTGCTTTTAAGTGCCCCATCTGGGGCTTTTTTTTTCTTTCTCTCTGTCTTAGTGGTACACCGAATAATTATGAGTTTATGTAATCAATAGGATCTTAGATTTGATAAAATATGGTACTTTAATTTAAAAGTAGCATTTGAAGAACTCAAATCTGCAGTTCTTGGTATATGAATATTGTGTATGTATGACTGTCCATAGAACATGAGTTCTTTTCCAGTAATGATGACAGATTGTGATTAGTTGCATTCTCGTACTCCATGTGCACTTTTTTCCCATCGAGACGGAGTTTCGCTCTTGTTGCCCAGGCTGGAGTGCAATGATGCGATCTCAGCTCACTGCAACCTCCGCCTCCTGGGTTCAAGCAATTCTCCTGCCTCAGCCTCCCAAGTAGCTGGGATTATAGGCGTGCACAACCACGCCCAGCTAATTTTGTATTTTTAGTAGAGACACGGTTTCATCATGTTGGTCAGGCTGGTCTTGAGCTCCTGACCTTAAATGATCCACACGCCTTGGCCTCCCAAAGTGCTGGGATTACAAATGTGAGCCACCATGCTTGACCTCCATGTGCATTTAATGACCAGGGTTAAAATTTTCTTTCTTGCACATTGTTACATTTTTGTGCAGGGGAAATGGTAATGGAAATACAATGCATGGGCATTGGTCTCCTGACCTTGTCCTTACTAATATCTGCACTGTGCAGCTGGAATAGAATCTTGGGATGTGAGATTTGAGATAGTAATTTGAAACCAGTTGATGTCACTTTATATTTTAAAGTAGAACATTATTTAGAGAAGAGAACATATTACTGTAAGTGCAGGAATATAGGCTGAAGGTAAATACTGTTTTATAATAAAATATTCCTGAGTTTCAAATTGCAACCAGTATGAGTTCAGCTTATTTTCTGTAAGTTGTTATCCATTTTTTAAAAAATTAGTAACCAATATTTAAATGTCCTTAATAGTGGTTAAATTGTATTAGTTCTTACAGTATTCATCCTGCCTATTTTATTCATTTAGGCATTCCTCCACCTCGTCCTGGCATGATGCGCCCACCTTTGGTGCCTCCCCTTGGACCTGCCCCCCCTGGGCTTTTCCCACCAGCTCCCTTGCCGAACCCTGGGGTTTTAAGTGCCCCACCCAACTTGATTCAGCGACCCAAGGCGGATGATACGAGTGCAGCCACCATTGAGAAGAAAGCCACAGCAACCATCAGTGCCAAGCCACAGATCACTAATCCCAAGGCAGAGATTACTCGATTTGTGCCCACTGCACTGAGAGTACGTCGGGAGAATAAAGGGGCTACTGCTGCTCCCCAGAGAAAGTCAGAGGATGATTCTGCTGTGCCTCTTGCCAAAGCAGCACCCAAATCTGGTCCTTCTGTTCCTGTCTCAGTACAAACTAAGGATGATGTCTATGAGGCTTTCATGAAAGAGATGGAAGGGCTACTGTGACAGCTTTTGATGCCAGAACAGGCTTCTGTTCACAACAGTGGCCCATGGAGAAAGAAGCTCTTATTAAACTTAGATGAAAGAGCTGCTTCCATTGTCAGGGTATTTTCTAATTTCAGTTCAAGGAATATCCTAAAATTTAGCCTTGTTCAGAATTTACTGCACATAAAAGAGGGTATTTCATCCAGAATAGATCAGTTATTGAAGCAGTGCTGCTAACATCCATTCCCTTTCACACCACCATTTTCATCCTGTTTCTTCCCCTCCTCCAGTTCTTTGGAAATTTGTGATCACCGGGGGATCTTAGTTGCTTATTTGTTTTGACTCTCTTGTGTGCTGTGGGCACTGGAGTAGAGATTTTTGAAAAAAACAGTTTATTTCATCTTGCCTTTTGTGTTTGAGTTATTTTTAATATTTTCCTGTAAATATTTTGTAATATTTTACTTGTAATGAAATGGATCACAATGTCATTTCCTAATACAAGGCAGGATGTGTGGGAAGAAAATGTACAATTATTTGATTAAAATTATTTCCCACTGACCTAAACTTTCAGTGATTCGTGGGAAAAATAAATAAATGTTCTACACCAAGATACTGACTCTGTGTTACTGATAATGTGTAAACATAATACCTAGTTTATGGACAGAAAAAAAAAGGTTAAGTATTTAAAACTTGGGTTTTCAAGGAACTGCCTTTCTGGTACAGAATGAGAATCTTACTGAAACCATGGTAGAAACTACGTTTTGAATTTTAAGGGATAAAAAAGAGGAGTAATTATTTTCCTGTAAGGTTGTCATAGTGGCTTTAGAGAAACTGAAAGGTGTTAGGAATAGTATAGTTTGGCTTTTATTGTTTAAAAGATAGCTTACCTTCAGTGGTTACTTATTCTAGAGCTTCATGAACTGATACGAGTTGAATGGCAAAAGTCATTTTAAACCATTTTTAAGCTATTAAAGAATCAGAAAAGGCGAGCTTTTTTCCCTTTCTGAATTGATGGGTTTTGTGTGCTTTTATATTATTCATTCATATTTTAATATATATAACATTAATTTGCATTTATACCATTTTGTTTACAAAGTGCTTTAATGTAAACTCATGTACCAATGTTGACTAACTCTTAGTCTATTAAGTTTAATGTTAATTTCATGACTAACTGATCTACCAAGTAACCCTAATAGATGACTTTTCTGGGTATTTTCCCCATTTTACACTAGAGAGTATTGAAACTTAAAAAGGACTCATGATTTATCCAGTGATCCAAAGTGTGTATTTCATAAACACATACAGTGTGTGCATTGTTTAGTCATACGTTACTTTCCACAGTATCTCAAATGCCTTTCATGTAAATCCCATACTATCAAAAATTGGTGATAACCTAAAATGTAGTGCAATAATACAAGGCATTTATTTTCTTAGAGTTGATTTATTTGATGGATTTTTAGACTTTTATTCAAGATCTTTTGTTTGTTTTGACTTTGCTTGGAAGATACTGATTTATTCTTTAATATTAAAGCAAATCCTGCCAAAGCACTAAATAGACCGTTTTGGGTTGGTTTTCTAGTGTAATATTAATATAGGTCAGCAGGTGAATTGAGTCTGATTGTTTAGATGTAAGGATTGAACCTTATGTTATCAATCCTTGACACTGTCCTTGATAACCTTATGGATATCAAGGATCAAACCATATGGTATCAATATTGTAGTTACAGTTTCAGCATAAACAGAATTGCTCCCCAATACTTGATCTGAAATATTTTTAATGATCTTACTTGAAACATGTATTCTTTCTGGGAGCGATTTTTTTAATCATTTTTCCTTAGAGACAAGTGCCTGCTCTGTTGCCCAGGCTACAGTGCAGTGATATGATCATAGCTCACTGTAGCCTCAAACTCCTGGGTTCAAGTGATCCTCTGGCCTCAGCCTCCCAAGTAGTTGGAACTACAGATATGTGCCACCACAACCAGCTAATTTATTTTTTAGAGATGAGGTCTTGCTATGTTGCCCAGTCTGGTGGTCTAACCTCAAGTGATCTTCCCATCTCAGCCTTGACTCGGAGATTTCTGATTCATGTTAATATAAGAAAGCTGTTGATAGTTTATCATAAAGGCATTTCCTAATATTGCTAGTATAATTTTCTGAAAATCAGTGGTAAGATGTGACACAGTACATCAACTGCATCCACAGGAAAGGGGAATTAATTCTGATTCTGAGTACACTTGTTATCATAATTTACATAATATTTTCACAAAAATGGTTAGATCACAGCTATGAAATGTAAATGATAAAAATCTTTAATCATGTATATAGATAGACTTGTTACTATTTCCTTAGCAAAGTGTCACTTTAGGGACAGCAATTGCCCCTTTAAATTAAGAATCACCACAATAATATTCTGCCATGTCATGGAATCAGCATGCAGCCCAGATGCTATCCAAAATTCTGTTTCAATTATCATTTTCTATATTCTCGTTTGTGCTCTTTATTAAAATACCTCCTTATATATAGCTGGGGAGAGTTATAAGTATTTTAAAAATCATTTTTATTGCATTCAAGTAATTCTTCAGGCCGAGAAGATGGGACAGTCACTACCCCTATAGAACTGAACAGTTTTATCCCTAACTCAAACTAAAGCAGGTCTAACATCTGAAAATGTTCCTCAGCCAGTTTGGAAGACCGGCGTTATTTCAGAACTACTGGGGCTCAAAGCTGTCACCAAGCAGAGCCACACATACTTTCTTCATATACAGATCCTAGATCCAGGAAGGTATTAATGAGTTGCTGGAAAACATATTTTTACATTTTTAGAAATAAGAGCTTTTGGCAAAAGTCGGAACTAGAACTTCTGTAAAGCCAAAAGAACTGTCTCCCAACTTTTTTCTCTAAGAAAGCCTTGTAGTTTATGAAGGAAAGAGGACAGAAGGCAGGTGGCTATGCTCTGGGTGAACGGAGGGATTTTAATTGGCAGACGTTTTGCTGAGGGGCAATAGCCAATAGGGAGAGGGTGGAGAATGATGGGGTAATTGATGGAATGACATACTTGAGGATATGGGGACATGAGAGTATGAAGTTTACTTATTCTATAGACAGTTACTGTCCAACAACTGAGCTAGGTGCTGGGAATACAGTGGTGAGCTAAATCAAGTAAGGTCCCTACCCTCATGGACCTTAGGGAAATTCAGGGAATAAACTTCATTGTCTTTATCTGTCTCAAACCGTGAGTACAATACTTACTAATGCTAAATTTTTAAAGCATCTTTTTTTAACAACAATTTGGGGGGGAAATCAGCTATATATGCCATGTGCCAGTGAAGACATACTCATTTTACGTTTATAATTTTATATATTAACTTTTTTAAAGTTTTTTTTTAATTGAATATTTTCTCTGTAAGTTTAGAAATATTAAATATACACTGTGGGTCTAATGGTGCTGCAACCAAATAGAGAAAGTATGTTTTTAAAAATAAATCGGAAGTCTGCAAGAGAAGACCATGGGTCCCCAAACACATTTTTCCTTGACATGTTATTCCAGTCACAGAGTATTTCCCCTCCAGGCATATTAAGCTTAAAAATAAGCTGTGTTTTTTAAAATTGTAAAATACCACGGTAAGTCCATTTTTAGTAAGAGTTACACCACTTTTGCAGGAGATAAATATATGCAGAATTAACACTCTAAAATGCTGTAAAAAATGTAAAATAATGGCTTTTGTAACAGTATTTGTGAAGAAAGAATACAACAGGTTTCTAGCCATAGAATGTCTAGAAAAATTTATAGTCCAAGGAAGAACAGAATGAACTGCACTGTTCATTATTACTGTCTATACCCAGCAATCTTGATCCCAATAAAATGGGGAGTGAGGCAAAGAAAAAAGGAAGATGACAGCCAAAGTTTAGGCAGGAAGAGGGGGAAACATACATCTCTGAAATCCTGTCTGATTTTATAAAACATACCACCCACAAATGAAAAAGCCATATTACTTTTATGAAGGTTGAACTTCTTTGTAAAAGCGAAAAAGGGCTTCAGCAACTTATTGCAAAGAAAACCTTACCTTCAAAGAATGTTTGATGGCTTTCTTGATTGAAAAGGGAAGTAAAACCCAGGCCAAGTACAAATTCAACATCTCCCCCTAAGACTATTCTTACTGCATAATAACCTAGACCAAAGAAGGAGGTATTTTTAAATTCACACTTGTACCCTCAAAGTTCATTTATAAAATACGTATTCATGGGAAAAAAACAAAAACAAACAAAAAAAACCTTGTATTTGATGAAATAATTTTAAGACAGATTGTTTTAAAACTTAAGGGTTAACCTTAGAAAGTATCTATTTGAAATAACTGATGTTGTTCTGCTAGTTTTTCTCCATAAAAAGCTAGCAGAACAACATCAGTTATTTCAATAGATGCTTCGTGGTTTGGGGAGCTTCGTATTTTTCATTTTTGTTTCTGCAGATAGACTGGAACAGGGATCAGCGAACTTTCTCTAAAGGGCCAGATGGTGAGTATTTTGGGCTTTGTGAGCTACACAGTTTCTGTCACTACCCTGGTTTCCTAAGATGAAACCTGCACTGAAGGCAGGTAGCCTCCCTTACTTGGTGTCCGAATGGAAATACGCCCTTTCTTACTGCAATGTTTCTCTACAGGGCCCTCTACTGAGAAAACTCAGAGCCGAATTTGAAGTTTTAATTTGGAGCTCAGAACTGGCACACATGAATCTAAAGAAAAAGCAGTGCTCTTTACTTCTACTATCACAATGTTTTAAAACAATTCTTAGCACAGGTTCCTTTGGCAAAAACAAATGGAATATTTCTCAAGCCCTTTTTGGCAGGGGCTACTAGCTAGTTCTGTTAGCTTATGTGTGCTAGCTAATATAACTGTGTGTGTCACTTTTCTTGAAAACTCTCAAAGGAACTTTAATTAACTGGCAAGCTCCACAACAGAAGTATGTTAAATAGAACAAAGCTAAGAACTAGGAAGTAAGCAAAAATGCTCCAAGAAACTGGCAGAGACAATGGTACTCACCAAAATATGTCATCTTCTCTTCTATATTTCCTGAGCTGCTTTGCAGTTAGATTAAGCCTGAGCTAGTTCTAGTGGACAGGCTGAAGCAAAGAAGAGGGTGTGAGTTCTCTGTGCCCTTGTTCCCTGCTGGAGGAGACAAGAGATAGTTTTACATGGCTGGTGAGTGGTATAAAGAATGGCAGAAGAACAGGCTGGAATCTGTAAAGCTATAAATTTTATAGACTTCGTTTAAGGACTACTCTTATGAAAGTTTTACACCAGAGATTTCATCTGGACTGTTTGCTCTTGCTAGAACACTCTGTATAACAAGGGTTTTGTGAGGAAATAACCTTTCTCATGTTGTAAAAGGTCCAGTGACACTCTTTACCCTGGCAATGGATGCATGCTCATATTATATTTGGACAACTAAGAGGTCTTCCCTCCTAATGCTGTCTTTATACTTTTCCACCCTGTTATATGCCTCCAGAAGGCTAAACTGTAGATAAGGCATCAATGGGCTTTCTTGTCTTTTGTCTTCCATTTGGGCTGGGCAGTGGGAAACAGGATACTGGAAGAAGGGAGGAAAGTGAGGTCA